AGAAATACAAAAAACATCAAATTTTATACAAAAACGAACAAGAACCTAGGCCGTATAATATTAAAATTTTATGTGTTATTATTATGTAGTATTTTGCGTAATTAACAAAAAACATCGTTCACAAACTTTTGTCCGGGTAGTGTATGTATATATTTGAAAACAAACGGAACAACATTTTCTAAGTTCCCAGGATGTGTTGAAATATAATATCTTAAAATAGCTCTAAGTGCAACTTGTTTGAAAATTTTTCGAAAATTTTTAATTTGACTTTTAAATATCATAAAATCGTCAATAATGATCGGTCAGATGTGATATTTTAGAGTGTTATATAAATCATTTCGACAAACATTTTCTTACTAATACTAATACACAGTGTCGACTTGCTTAGTAAAAAAATGACTACTTATATTAAACGTTTACCCGATTATTTTGCTAATCATCAGGTGTCCGGAAATTTTTTGTAGGGTAGTGTCATCTTTCTTTGCATTCTTCGTCGTACAATGACAATTATTACTATATAATTTTATAATTTTCCGACTGGATTAACAATTTATATAAAAACTAATATTCAGCTGAAAAGCTTAGTCAGCCAATTTCAATTTTCGTCACATCAAGTATGACGAAATCAACAATGATTTGCTTCATCCACGCTGATAGGGATGGGAAAATGTACAACAATGATAATTGAAGAGAGTTCTTCGTGGGAAAAAAAAAATAAACCTTTATCACATCAAGTTAGTTGCTAACGTCACCACATCATAAGGTTTTAGTATATACTTTGTTCTCGTGGTTTTTGCTTTGTTCTAACCTAATATGTTAATACAAATTGCTAGATCAAACTTGATTATATTTGTGGTAAATTACGACAACTTCAAAGTATCTATAATTTCATAAAGTTACTATTACGCCATTACATCATAAGATTTAACGTATTTGTTTTTTTTTTATTCTCATGGTTTTGCCTAATATGTCAAATTTGTTTCAAATAATTGTATAAAAATTTTTTTTTTTCACAAATGCCATAAAGTCTCGAAAGATAGCACTCACCCCTGTAACAAATGATTTTCAATTAGAGGGTGCTATCTTTCTATTTAAAGGAGCAGGTCATAGTGATGACGAAAATTGGTTGAGAAGGACAGCTGAATTTGAAGCTGAATTAAAGAGATCAGGTTATAATTTAGATAATAATGATGATACCAATTTTACCAGTGCTCCTATTCATATCGAACCTTTGGCAAGTTTGGATCAAACAGTGAAGATAATTGGTCGAGAGCTACTGTCGAATTTGAACTAAGAATAAATGCGATAATAATTTAGATGATAGTGCCGATTTCCTTAGCGTCCCTGTTCCTATCGAATCTTCAACAAGTCTCAATGATCATGGTTGGGGTCAAATAGTCAAATAATAAAGACGATTGGTTAAGGATTGCTGTTGAATTTGAATCCAAACTTAAAAATGCAACCTAAATAATTGATATTATAGCACCAAAACAAACAATAATAATAATTGCTGTCAAGATGATCAAATGGAAGAATAACTCTAACAGAAGAAACTATAATAACAACTATAGTCGAGATAATAACAATATAAGAGATAGTTTTGGCAAAACTATAATAATAATTATAGTCAGGATGCCAAAGGAAAGAGTAGACAATAAATTTTTGTAATAATAAAAGTTGCTGCTTCAAATGCTGGTCTCCTAAGCATCTTTATCAATATTGTACTCGTAACATAGAGAATCGCCACCACATCACATCAACAACAAACGGCATTTCTAGAAGGAAGCTAATTATTGCAAATAATAATAAGAAATAGAATTATTTTTTTTATAATATACTGTATTATTATAATTATCATTATTGATATAATAATTTTTTTTAATTTGTTATGATGTACGCACGCACACCCTAGAAAGATGCTCATTAGAGCCACCACACTTAAAAAGTTAAAGAACCTATTACTGCTTCCATATTATTGTTAATTACATATAAACAATTGATTTATCCATTTATTATTTTAGAAAGTATATTAACACTCGCTAGTTAATCCAAATTAGTCCTTACTTCACAATTTTTGCCTTTTTACCTTTTTACCAAGGTATTACTACACTTTAAAATTGGTCGTAGAATGCAATACAAAAAAAAATTTTTTAAATCATTTATAATGCACAACTTCCCCGTTTTACCATAAAATGGTGAACATTATATGAAATAAATGATTAAAGTTCACGTATATTAATATAATTGTTTAAGAAAAAAGATATCTTTATTAGATATTTGATATATTGCAACACTCGAAACACATGCCCTATTTGAAACCTTTGTTGAGAAATATCAAAAGACCCAGTTGGCTTAATATAAAACTAAAGAGAAGTAATGATGGAGTCTGGAGGGAATCCATCCAAAAGATTAAACATCTGGCTAAATATTTTTCCGAATTAATTTTATCAACCGAATTTTTATGTAATTACTCCATCCACTTTGTTCAAATTTTTTTAATGTTTCATTGTATCCATTCAAACTCATAATAATAATAAACCATTAGTATTAGAGAACCTTCTGTTTATTTTTAGTGTGTGACAGAATGAAGCATAGTAGAAATTATTTATATAAAAAAAAATTTTGATAAATGGTATATTTTCGATGAAAAATTTCTTGAAAAAAATTTAATGTAAAAATGGTTGATAATTTGTTAGCTTATTTACTTACTATAATTTTAGGTGCAATAAGTTTTTTCATTTATAAAACTTTAATTGAGCCTTTTTATTTGTCACCATTACGTAAAATACCTGGTCCACCTTCTGAAAGTATTTTGTTGGGAAATTTTCCAACTGTTGCAGCTGACGTAAATAATAGTATCTTCTTTATTTATTTATTCATTTTCTCTTAGGAAATTAATTTTTTATCCACTAAATATTAAATTAAAGATTGGAAAAGCTCATTTTGAATGGAAAAAGAAATATGGAGGAATATTAATATATCGTGGATTATTAAATGAACCAATTGTACTTTTAACAGATCCTAAATATTATCCACCAATATTGACAAATAATGCTTATGGATTTTTTAAAACAATGGAATTTACTACGGATTTAAGAATTGTATTAGGAGATGGGATTTTGTTTGCTGAAGGTGATCAACACAAACGTCAAAGGAAAATGATGAACCCAGCATTCTCTTTTACAAACTTGAAAGTAATTATTATTATTAATATTAATTATAAACTGAATGTTTTTTTAATTAAATTCAATTTATAGGAAATGGTTCCTACAATTATCAATGTTACTAATAAATTAAATGATATGTTGAATGATGTGATTGGTAATCAAGATGAAAAACTAATTGTTAATATTAATTCATATATATCAAAAGCTACATTAGATATTATTGGCTTAGTTGGTAAGTTTTAAAATATTTTTTACATTAGCTCAATATATTATTGCTCATATATATATATACATTGTTTATTATGAATAGGATTTCAATATGAATTTAATTCACTTAGTTCCGAGAATGAATTAGCAACTGCTTATGAAGCACTTTTTAATGTTAAATTAACATTCAAGAATTTCATGCTAATGGTTATTTCAAATAAACTCAAATGGTTTAGATCTTTGCCATTTGAAGAAAATATAAAAATGACTAAATCTGTTAAAGTTATTGAAAGAATTTCCTTACAACTAATTAGAGAAAGACAAAAACAGGCACAATTAAAAAAATTGGAAGGAAAAGATTTGTTGTCTTTATTAATCAATATTAATCAAGACTTGCCACCAGAAGAAAAAATGTCTGAACCAGAATTAAAATATCAAGTAAATTACATGCATATTATATTATATATTATTTTTGTTATTTTATTTGGTTTTAATTTATTTGTTGTGTGATAGATTATGACATTTTTAGCAGCTGGTCATGAAACCACAGGTACTGCACTTTCATGGTCATTATATTTACTTGCAAAGTATCCAGAAGTTCAAGATTGTCTTCGTCAAGAATTATTGGAAGCTTCACCAGATCCTGATTTAGAAACATCATTTGACAAAATAAATTCCTTAGAATATTTAAATTGTGTATTCAAAGAAACTATGAGAGTCATTCCACCAGGTATTTTATTATTATGATGAAAGATGGAAAATCAATATATCTATACAATTATTTATATTTAAGTATGTGTATAATAAGTGTAAGTATATATATACTAATACCATATTATTATTTATATCAGCACCAGCGATAGCAAGAAATAATGAAATTGATACAACAATTGATGGATACTTTATTCCAAAAGTATAAAAATTTATTTAATTCTAATTTAACATCTATTGATTTATATATCTATATAACATATATACTTAATTTTTCTTAATTAATCAATAGGACACACCAATTGTAGTATCAATATATTCAGCTCATCATGATTCAAAAATTTGGGGAGAAGATCATGACAAATTTGAACCATCAAGATGGTTAGATCCAAAGTTAACATCAGAAATAAATAATTATACCTATTTACCATTTTTAACAGGCCCTAGATCCTGTATTGGTTCTAAATTAGCCACAATTGAATTTAAGATTATTTTATCCTCTTTAATAAGAAAATTTAGATTTAGGGAAGTTGAAGGTTTCCAGGTCAAAAGGAAAATTGGTTTTATTACTAGACCTGATCCTGGAATTGATCTTTATGTTTCAAAACTGGAATAATAATAAATGTGCATGCTGTGTAAAGAATTTGTAAAGAATTACTTCAAAAACGAATTAAACACTTTCCTATGAACAAATACTTTAATTGTAGTAAAAATATAAGTAATCCTTTATTCTTTTAAAAATAATATCTTATTTGTAATCTCATCTATCTGAATATTCTTAAATTTAAATAGTAAAATAAATAAATTGTTTGGATATAATGTTTAGATTAGTTCTAATCTATTTCATTTTATCATGATTATAACGTAAATTATTACAAATTCAATGTCTGATTTGCGTTGAATTTCCAATAAAGAAAATTTCCCATGAAGTCACACATGTTATAAGATAATTTAATATTATTATTTCAAATAAATGTACTTTTTTTTTTTTTTGCATGGCACAGACACAGAAAAAACATATTACTTAAAGATCATTTATGTTCTTTTCTAAACTGTGGTGTTCCCAATGTAACTCAACACCATTTGGTAGCTTCTATAAAACTATCATTTTTCTTTTGTTCATTCAATATCATCATGAGTATACATGCAGCCCAAAGTATTTTGAAACTGTCATAAAGGGTTTACACTTATATTTTTAATAGTTGGTGCCGTAATTAATTTCTACTTTCTACCATTAATCAAAATTGGAATAATTTTGACCATCGAAATCACCAAACCAATTTGGGCCGCAAGCATAACATGAGAATAAGAACGAAATAGTAATGGGAATAATAAAAATTATTCTCTCTGTATGTATTGATATTGAATTTTTAATTCTGTTCATATTATAGTTATTATTATTATACACGATTGTCCAATAAAAACTGGCCAATAACGCTCCTATCCACAAAACTGCACGTTTTCATGTGACTTTGCATAATTTTATAATAGATAATACATATGTATGTCACTTGATCGTTGATTGGTGGACCAAACTAAAAATGATTGATAATTTGACAGCTTATATACTTACTATAATTTTAGGTGTAATTAGTTTTTTCATTTATAAATCTTTAATTGGACCTTTTTACTTGTCACCATTATGTAAAATACCTGGTCCACCTTCTGAAAGTATTTTGTTGGGAAATTTTCCAACTGTTGCAGCTGACGTAAATAATAGTATCTTCTTTATTTATTTATTCATTTTCTCTTAGGAAATTAATTTTTTATCCACTAAATATTAAATTAAAGATTGGAAAAGCTCATTTTGAATGGAAAAAGAAATATGGAGGAATATTAATATATCGTGGATTATTAAATGAACCAATTGTACTTTTAACAGATCCTAAATATTATCCACCAATATTGACAAATAATGCTTATGGATTTTTTAAAACAATGGAATTTACTACGGATTTAAGAATTGTATTAGGAGATGGGATTTTGTTTGCTGAAGGTGATCAACACAAACGTCAAAGGAAAATGATGAACCCAGCATTCTCTTTTACAAACTTGAAAGTAATTATTATTATTAATATTAATTATAAACTGAATGTTTTTTTAATTAAATTCAATTTATAGGAAATGGTTCCTACAATTATCAATGTTACTAATAAATTAAATGATATGTTGAATGATGTGATTGGTAATCAAGATGAAAAACTAATTGTTAATATTAATTCATATATATCAAAAGCTACATTAGATATTATTGGCTTAGTTGGTAAGTTTTAAAATATTTTTTACACTTGCTTAATATATTATTGCTCATTACCAAATATATATATTGTTTATTATGAACAGGATTTCAATATGAATTCAATTCACTTAGTTCTGAGAATGAATTAGCAGCTGCTTATGATGAAATTTTTAATCCTAAAATAACATTCATGAATTTCTTGTTAATGGTTATATCAGATAAATTCAAATGGATTAGATATTTGCCATTTGAAGCAAATATAAAATTAATTAATTCTGTTAAAGTTATTGAAAGAATTTCCTTGCATATAATTAGGGAAAGACAAAAACAGGCACAATTAAAAAAATTGGAAGGAAAAGATTTGTTGTCTTTATTAATTAATATTAATCAAGACTTGCCACCAGAAGAAAAAATGTCTGAATCAGAATTAAAAT